GCACTGCTTTTTCATGCATTTTATCATGATTTTATGCCCTTTATTATATTTTACAAAAGGTTCTGATTCCTCCAGGGCCAATGAGAACTGATTAGGACACTGGCCTAAATCCAGGCTTTGAACACAGGAGGGGAAGGAATAGAACCGTTTCCTTTTTTCCCTGCTCCTTGGCAGAAAAAAATATGAATCTATACCGTGTGTGTGCTCTGTGTGTGGGTGGGTGTGGGCAGGCTGCATTTTATCCTGTCACAGTATGACTTTGTAGATCGTGTTCAGAACATTCCTTCTATAATCAGGTTGCATTAACGGGCTTGATTTCAGAAAGGCTGTTTCTTTAGGAAAGAACCATGTGTGTTGTGAGACTCAATGATATGGTCATTGTAAATGACTTTCCTTAAACATCCAGCCTGCACGTAGGATGTTACGGGCTCTGAACTGAAAGCGGCCATATTCTTGGGTACAGAGGAGGCGTACGTCGCGAGCACTGGCAACTTCTCCATGGGGGAGTGCAACTCAGAGAGAATAATGCAATACTGAACACAGTCCTGCAACACAGAATGCCTTTACTGAGAAGATGAAAGACTAACTAAGTTTTCATCCCTAGGCCGGTACTGGTAAAGTAGTTTAGACCTTATTTGGACCGCAAGTGAGAAATCCCCAGACCTTCATTTCTATTTACATTTAGTGACTCTGTATGCTCAGAATTCTTAAAAATCTTTTTGGTCTGAATATCCTAGATAACCCTACACAGACCTCCTGCAGTCTGAGAATTTCTGAGAACGGAAATCAGTTATCTCTCCACATGAAGATTATCAGAGCCCTTTATCCTATTTTATGATTCATAATGTGACTGACCTTTGACTTTAGAGAGCATCTTGAGAAAGAAATGGAGTAAAGAGTACACAGGAAACAGAAAGTATGGGAAGGGATTAAAGGATAAATCTCTATTTTAGCATAAACAAAATATACGAAATTACTGATGGCAATTCACAAAAATGTTGAAGACCTCAGTATGAGAAAAAAAAGTCTGATGTGACAAATTTAAGGTATCTGATAAGAGCAAAGCAAATGGCACTCTGTAGAAGATCCTATGTGTTAAGAAATAAAGTCATCGCTATTTTTGAAATTTTAGCTTAGTCATCCACTAAATTCTCATAGCAATGTCTCTAAGCCACATAAATTTCAAAACTTCTTTTCTCCAGATCCTTCTACAGGTAGAACCATTTTCTTTTTCTTTCTTTCTTTCTTTTTTTTTTTTTTTTTGTAGAGGTTTTTGTTATAGGGCGCCTGCGCTCGCCAGAAAGACAGAGACAGAGAGACAGAAAGCGAGAAATCACCCCCCAGGGGGAATGGCCATGCCACAATCCCTTCTCCTCCATTCTCCTCTTGGGATCTTGGGCACGCATGCACATGCGCCCAGTGTGAGTTTAAGCCACCGGGTCAGGGACTCGAACTGCTGTCAACTACATGGGAGTCCAGTGACATAGCCATTACACTAACTGCTGGTCCCCAGGTAAAACCATTTTCAAACTGAGTTGGTGTACACTCTATTTCTGTAAAAACACATGCACTAATTTTGTGGGGCTTGTTTTCTAACATCCAGGGAAGCTGAAATGATTGTCAAGAGTGAGCTCTTCCTTCTATTTAGCTATTATTATTATTTTATATTATATTATTATTTTATTTTATTATTTATTTAGTTATTATATTACTATTATTATTTATATATATAATATTGTATATTATATATAATATTTATATTATTTTAGTTATTATGATTATGAGTGTGATTATTTTATTTTATTGCTGGGGGCACATACATTATGAGAGAGAAAGAGAGAGAGAGAGAGAGAATACCACCATGGTCAGACCACAGTCCTTTCCCTCTGTTTCTCCTTTCCATCAGAATTTTGGGCACACACACGCACATGCCCAGTGAGTTTTACAAGTCACCAGGGCTGAGACTCAAACCCTGGTTGTCCACGTGTAATCTGGCTCCTGATGCACTGTGCTATGAGGTCAGCCCCAGTGCAATTATTTTTTAAGAACTATTTATCACAATAATACAAAGAGCCAGTGTAAAATACTTGCTGGGAATCAAAAGAAAAAAGCAGAAGGAAAAAAAAAAAGAGAAATCAGAGTGAAAACTTATGAGCAGTGGTACATTTTAGTAGCGAGAGTAAAGCCCAGAGTATACACTAGGAGGGGATACTCTTAGGTAAGGACTGCCAAATATCTGGGGCAATGCTCTCTCCTTACTGTTCTTTGATGCTCTAGGAGGGAATGCGTGATAGTCATCAGGCATCCTCCTATAGATTCACAGTAATTGACCTACTGTCAAATGCAGTGAAGCTTGTTAGATTATTGTTCAAAGATGCTTTAGCATTCTGATGGAATGCTGGTGGGATCATAGGGGACTCAGGGAAAAAAAAATTGGGACAAGCATGGAGTATATGACATGAAAATTTATATGACTAGGGTATGTAGATAGGAATTATGTTTGTTATTAATGGCATTTAATGTGATACCAAGAGGCAAAGATTCAACTCATGGTTAAAAAAATTTTGACAGAAAAAAAAGAAAGGGGAAAAAAGATCAATTTTGGTTTATGATAGTTGTCACAACATGGGTCTGATTACTACCTATGAAATAGACATTGTTTAAGATACTGATGTTTCTTTCAATCAGCACATTTGATTTCTGTGGCTCTGGATTTCATAGGCCCGTCAGAATGGGAACTGGGAGCCGTATTATTTCATGGTGTTCATTATTCTGCCAGAGAACTGGTTGCTACAGTCTGTTTTCCAGTGCCCGGCTCATTCCAATTGTGGATGACTCAAATACTTTTCTTAGGGGTTTTCCACCCTCTGAAATCTTACAGTTAAACTGTTTCCTTTAAATATGGACTTTGAACTTTCTCTTGCTCATTTTCTCTCTTGACTTCTTCAGTTGTTCTGGGCTCTCATAACTTTTTCCAAATTTAATGTTTCCCAGCAAGCCCCGAAGTTCAGAAAGATGTTTCTTGGTCAGAATCATGGTCATGGTCAACCAGCCATAGGACTATTACTACACTTGCCATAGTCTTCAGCTTTAAAATTTTCTTGGACCAATTGGTGGCATGATGGTTAAGGTAGCTGGATACGACATGGCTGACTGTGCAGTTTGAGTCTTGAACCTAGAGGCCTGAGAAAGAGGCCAGGTGTGTGCACAAGCATCCTCAAAGTCCCAGAATGAGAGCTGGAGAAGAAGGGATTGCAGTGTGACCATCCCCCATAGGGCTGTTTTTCAATTTTCCTCTCTCAATCTCCCTCTGGAGAGTACACATGCCCTTTAGCAAATTAAAAACAAACAAAAAATTCTCCTCTTACCTACCTGGAATCATTTTTCTAAGATGTATTTTTGTTTTTCTACAATGTATATTGGGTTAGATAATGGTGAAGGATAGTGTCCAAAACAGGGAACTTCAATGCTTTGGCAAAGAACATTCTACAAGTATTTGTTTATTCAGTGCATAAAGGCAGTGCTGAGGAGACTCTGCTTTCCATCAATCCTTTCCTGTCACTCTATAGTTCCTCACTACCTCTCCCTTACTGTGACCTGGTCATTTATTCTCAATGACAAGTGCAGGTCTGCCTCCTGCCCAGTAAACCCTGAGGAAGTAGCAGTACCTCTAGGTCCTCCTGGCCTGCCTCAGTGAGTCCCCTACCCACTTTAAGGATCCTGGCAACAACCAATCACCTTAAACTAGGGAGGGTGAATATGGAACTGTCTTGACTCTGAGAGCCGTATTTTTGTTCCTGGATGGCTATATTTTTGTCCCCAGATGTTTTCAAGTCAGCTGGTAGTTCCACGGTCAGGAACATGGAAGGCAGCATTCCCTCAACAGATTCTCTTTGCATTTCACTGTAGTTCTGTGTTTAAATACTACAACTGCCTTTTGGTAGTAAATATTTTAAGTGAAATACTAACTAATACTGTGTCTATAATTTCTAATACTGCGTCTATAATTTTAGGAAACACAGCAATTTCCAAAAGTTTAGGTTACTTAACTTCATATGCCGACACAGTGTTCATTGAGCTTACAGATGTGCCAACGGAGAAATGTGGCCAGGAACACCTTGCACGTCAGCTATCTGAGGTGTCACAACGTGCAGTGCATACTGATGGGCCATTCTTTGTTAGATCGAGTGACAGTCTCTGCCCAGCCTGTGTGTAAAAATAGGCTGAATCTATAGCATTTCATGTGATCTCTAGTTAAACAGAAGTTTTTTGTTTCTTTGTTTTATCTTCAATTCATCACACACTAATATTTTTATGGAATATACTCATAATGAAATACTGCAAAAGTAAAATAAAAAATGGAAGACACACAGGATATATTAGAGTCAAAATACATAAAAGTGCTTTCAAATTTTCATAAAAGTTTTCAAATATTTACTCTGAACTTCTGTACTGACCTCCTCCCAGATCATTGGTAAGCAGATCTCAAACTATTACCAACCCCCACGAGACACAGTCTGAGTATTCTTAGTCTAGATGAACACTACTTTGGGTACCCATGAAATGGTTAGTATATCTGTGATCATCAAATCCATTAAAATGTAGTGGTGGTTGCTTATGTCCTTTAAGAAAGAACAAGGAATTCCTCCCAACTGCTTGAGTGAGTGTACAATAGATTGTAACAAATTGACTTTTCAGTTGTCCCTGTTTAAGTTGATACTTTTACAAAAACTCAATATTAATTTTTTTGTTACAGACTTCATTTTTAGGAATATGCTTTGTGTCAATTGCTATTTAGGTATAAGCATTTCATTGGATCTGAACCTTGCATGTGTTCATTTTTCAAATATTATTACTTTATGCTACTAAGAAAATCAGTGTCACATTCCTGCATGATGAAACCCAGCCCATTATTAATCATCTTAAATGTGACTTGGGGGTCTCATTTTCTTCTAAATGTTGTCAGTGGAGTACTGTAGGCTTCTGCTGTTTTCTTTCAGCGAATTCAAGGTCGAAAAGCCAGCCTGGAGGAAATACAGCTTGTTCATTCTGAACATCACTCACTGTTGTATGGCACCAACCCCCTGGACAGACAGAAGCTGGACCCCAGGATACTCCTAGGTCTGTACGGGCCTCCATTCTACTGAGCACAGCACATTCCAGCACTATCATTAGTCAATGCTGGTGTCAGTTCAAAATACTTGGCAAGCAGTGTGACAAAAAAAATCAGTTTTTCCAAAGAATCGCTCTGTGGAGTGACTTGTTTATGCCAGAACCCATTGTAGAGCAAGAAAATCCTGCGTTAGAAATTGACCATGAATGTTCCATAATGTTTACTTTAAAATTAACCGTTATTTGAGTAGCATGTGTACGGTATAGTTTTGCATAAAGGGAAAAAATGCATTGTCAAATTTTTTGCTTATATTTTTAAATCAAGGAAAAGAAAATTGTCACATTCTTTATGCAAATGTATCTTCACCTTTTCCATTTCTGTCTTTCTGTTCTGTTTTCTGTGACGTTAATTGAAGAGGAAATAGTACAATTTATTTTAAGTGGCAATGGTGTATTATTGTGCGTAGGATACTGAATTTTATAATAATATGGCATAGAAAATATTAGTGTAGCCTATTTAATGCATGACTTACCTATGAAATTAAATAATAGAGCAAATAACAGAAGTAGAAAACTAATAAACAATTTTTGATTAATGTATGATTTTTTTTCAAAATTTAATCATCAGATTTTAAAGGAAAATTTATGTTGCAGAGCTTTATATAGGCTTTATGTAAGTGATAGAAACAATAGATTTTTGGAAAAAATTAGTGGCACAACTTCATGTAGCTGAGACTATACTATTAATACACTTTCTATTTTATTAATATACTTTTATAATGAAATAATATTAAGTTGTCAGAAAAATCATGATCTGTTTTTCTATGCAAAAATGCATCATGACTTTTCCAACGACTCAATATTTAACATGGCACTATATGCTGAAAGAATCATGTTTTAACTAAAAAAGGCATTTTAAGGCTTTTTCTTTGTCTCTTTCAGTCAAACAAACCTATTGCTTGTTCTAGAGTATTGGGTTCTTTCACCTCATTCAATATTAGGTATTTCAAAATGGTTTTATATTAATGGGTACTAAACAATTGGAAAGCACGTATATGATATATAATCAATAGGCATCCTGGGAAGCAATTATAAGGAGAAATGAACAATTACCGTCTATAATCCTCACAATCCGCCTTTATGAAAGTGATAATTGTCCCTTCATACTGTAATATGAGTGAGTGTGTGTGCCCACCAGGCATTTAAGCAGTCTAGGTAGTGGTAGCTTGGGGAGAAGTAGGTAGAAAGGGGAATGCATAGAGACTACGCAATTCTTAGAAAGTATTTTGTTAAAATTTGATAAAGAAAAAAATTTATATGGTAGAATTAAAGTTAGATATTGCTATAAAAATAAATTCACACATAATATGTTTTTCTTCTTTCTGTTGGAGGAACTAGTTTCTATACATGCAGATACTTTACATAAAGCATTACTTTTTGCTGTGGATACTGTATAATAAATATTCTTATTTTAACATGAATTAGTGTTTATACCCAACTAGCCACAGAGCTGAAGTAGAGAAGACATTTTAGCTTTTATGGTTTTTATGAGATCAAAATACATAAGCATTTGAACAGTGTGTTTAGATTGATTATTTTTTAACATAGTTAAGAGAGATCAAGCAGTAAACCCACCTCCCCTCCACTTTTAAACTAAGGATAAGTCAAGCCAAGATAGCACTCTGTATTCATGAACTTTCTTAGGATAGACTGAATATTCGACTGAAGAATATTAGAATACACTGAATATTCTAAAAAACTATACATCAAATTATAAATATAAACACACTCATAGGTATTTGAGAAGCTGTCCCAAGACACTTCACATTTTAAGGAAAAAAAATTTTTTAGGAGATTAAGCTTAAACTTTGGCAACAATAAAACTGTTTTTATTTATGAAGCATAGCAATATAACTTTTTAATTTAGGGAATTTGGTGTTTTGAGCAAAACCTTATTTCCTCATAATATTCAACAAAAAATGTAATGATTTAGAAATAAATTACAATATATAATTTTGAACCTGAAGAAGGTCTTTTCCTTTTATGTATGTGATGAAAGCACCAAATACTAATGATAGTATTGAAAAAAAAATTTTTTTTTTTTGGAGAGGTTTTTTCACTATAGGCCGTGTGCGCTCACCAGACAGACAGAGAGAGACATAAAGACAGAAAGCGAGAAATCACCCCCCAGGGGGGATGGTCACGCCGCAATCCCTTCTCCTCCATTATCCTCTCGGGATCTTGGGCACGCACGCACATGCGCCCGGCGTGAGTTTTAAGCCACTGGGTCTGGAACGCGAACTGCGGTTGACTACGTGGGAGTCCAGAGACATAGCCATTACGCTAACTGCTGGTTCCCCAGTGTTGAAAATTTTTAATCCAAAAAAACTGGTTATTCATATTACTAATTTTAAATATTTCATGTGAAACAATACTAATACAATGGGTGATTTTAGAGTTAGCATTCTAAGTCCATATAGAGTTTCACAGACATTTCTCAGTAATCAGTGCAAAATTTTAATATTATATGTATGTTATGTGAGTATGGATGAATAGGGATATTGCTTTCTGTCAAGCACTAAACTCAGTTTTGAAGATACATTCAAATTACTTTATTTTCTTTGGTGAACACAGAAATTATAGTTTTCTTTAATCACAGTTCTGAGTGAATACAGTCGTACCTCAGTACCTGTGGGAGATTACTTTCAGGACCCCTGTGGATTCCAAAATCCAAGGATGCCCAAGTCCCTTATATAAGATGGAGTAGTAGTTGCATATAACCCATATACATCCTCCTGTATATGTTAAAATATCCTTAGGTCACATATAACACTTAATAAATTGTGAATAATAGGTCAATTTTTTTTCTGAAAATGAAAATAATTTATTATTTTTATACCAGCCCACGTATAACATATGAAGGCTAGAGATATCTAGAGATATTCTTTCTTTTTTATTACTTGGAGAAAAGGCAATCTTTAATTTTTTTTTATACTTTTTAAATTTGATTTTGTTTTATACATTCAATCCCATTATTTACCTTACTAAATGAATATTTCAACAGGTGAACATTTCTCCCTAGTCCAGTTGATAAAACTATAAAATATCTTTAACAGATAATACCACATTTCTCTGTCCCATTAATGGTTTGTCCATATTTATTATTCTGTATTGTTTAGGGAATATCGACAATTTCAAAAGGTCTGAACATCGTTCAACACAGATACAACCATTTTTTTCCTAAATTTTTTGATCTACAGTTGGTTGAATCTGCAGATGCACAACCTACAGATACAGAGTGTCCACTGTAATCCCATTCTTTTATTTATATTCATTTTTTGAGTTTTTTACTATAAGGACATGTGTCCTCACCAGAGAGACAGCAAGAGACAGAGAGACAGAAAGTGATAAATTGCCTCTTGGATGGATGGTCACACCCCAGTATGTTCTCCTTCATTCTTCTCTTGGAATGTTGGGCATGCACGCACATGCACCTGGCATGAGTTTCTAGCCTCTGGTCTAGGACTCAAACCACAGTCAACCCCAGGAGAGTCCAGTGCCTAACCCGCTACACCACCTGCTGGCCCCAATCCCATTTTTTCAAAAGGTTAATTTTTCATACGTTTTGGTTTGTTATGAAATTTTATTTTATTTTGTTTTTGTAAGACACAATATTACAATCTTCCTGTCTGAGTAGGACACCACTGTGTGCTCCACCACTCTCATCCTTTTTATAGACAAGGTCTCACTATATTGCTGAAGCCAGCCTCGAGCTCACAGTTCTCCTGCCTCAGTTTTCTTTAGTTGCTGGGATTGTGACCAGCTTTTAACCTGGGCCTCCAATGTGACCCAGTATACGGAGCACAGCTCCTCAGCAGTGCATGCACCACCTTGGCCTGGCCTGTATTCTTTTCTTGTGTTTTTGTTTTTTTAAGTGCCTAAAAGACGGGGTTGAAGCTGCATTTGTCATTGTGTAGAAATTCATTACGGTGAAGATATTTCCTATCTCTTTATCCATTCCTTTGACTTCCATCCATCTCACTGCTTCTGGCAATTCCTCCAAACACAGATAGGGGGCTTCTTTTCTGACTTATAGTCATACTACGATTCTTAATAGTTACATTCTATAATTAGGAGGAAAGATTTAAATAAAAACTCAGTCTGAGCAGATCAATCCATCTTTGTATCTTGAAAAGCACCTATAGATTATAAAATAATTAGATTTGAAAATGGACAACATTAATCTCTTTGAATACTCAAACTCTGTAAAGAGACACTTTAAAAACATTCTCTCCAATCATTTCTGGCACCAGGTTTCTGTAGAATTAATATTCCTGTCATTCTTACTACCAATTTCTATTATCATGTGGCCAGCTAGATATTCAGTCCATCGCTAAGGCAACAAAATGTTATTGAAAAATATATCCAGCCAACTTAGTGAATCAAAAATGTCTTATGTAGGGAACCAGCAGTTAGCGTAATGGCTATGTCGCTGGACTCCCACGTAGTCGACCGCGGTTCACGTCCGGGACCCGGTGGCTTAAAACTCATGCCGGGCGCATGTGCATGTGTGCCCAAGATCCCGAGAGGAGAATGGAGGAGAAGGGAATGCGGCGTGACCATCCCCCTGGGGGATGATTTCTCACTTTCTGTCTCTCTGTCTCTCTCTGTCTGGCGAGCGCATGCACCCTATAGAGAAAATCTCTCAAAAAAAAAAAAAAGAAAAAGTCTTATGTACTACAAAACTTAAATGATATTTATATTATATAAACATCACTAAATACAATTCTACTCAAGCAACACATAATTTATTTTTCTTATTCTCTCAGTGTTTAATATTTTTTAATTATTTTATTACACTGTAAACTTATCTTTACACTTTTTCATTGAGTATGAGTGAAAGGTTCAGACAAAACACACCCTTATATTTCAATTTCACAGGTGACATATGAAAATACTCTTACAAAATATTTAAGAATATAGAGATATCCTTATTAAGAACAACTTAAGAAAACTTTACTCCTCCTCATGCTAGTCAGATTTTTTTTAGTTTTATTTTACTGATGACAGCATTCTAGTTTTAATATGATCTCATGGTTTGATCATATTGTATTTTTTGTTGTCTACTCATCTTTATTTTCAAAAAAAGTCTCTCTATATAGCCAGATGTCTTTTTATTTACTTATGCATTTTTCTTTATCATTTTCCATTTGTTAGGAATTGCACTTGAAAAATGAACTCACACAATTTATTGTTTTAAAGTAAACTTTTTTGTGACAGAGAAAGCTATTTAGACTTTTACTTGCATGGTATGCAAATTGATCACGAAGTTTTTCCATTTTAATGATTTATTTCATTACTTATCAATAGAACAAATGAATGAGATAGGTGAAGTGTAAGTTTCTTCTTGGTTCTACTATTGATCTGCTTTGATATGCTAAGTATCTCATGAATATCAATACCAAGAGCCAGTCACCATGAAATTTTTGGCATATATTTTTAAAGGAAAAGTTTTTATATTAATATTATATAGATTGACAAATGGGATTATCCTTTTTATAGTGTTTTGTTTAAGAAGTTGTGGATTTTGGAGAGGCTTGTGGTGTACTTGGGCTTTTCTTGTATTCTATCTTATGTAGATATAGCAACTTATAGCTAAGTATACTTAGCTATGTGTCTGGAGTAGAAATTATGAATCAGTTGTGGGCCAGCCTGTGGCATGGTGGATAAGCAGCTGGATGCACATGGCTGACCACATGGTTCAAATTCCAGACCCAGCAGTGTGAAAAACATGCCAGGCCTATGTGCACGCATCCCCAAAATCCTGAAAGGAGAAATGGAAGAGAAGGGATTGCAGTGTGTCCATCCTCCATGGAGGGTGCTTTTCCACTTTCCCTCCTCTCTGACTCTCTGTTGCCCTATAGCAAATGAAAAAGAGAGAGAGAGAGAGAGAAAGAATACTGTACTTTTGAAAAGCTATTTTAATATTTAAAATATTTAAAGCATGATAGTATATGCTGCCATAAACCTTGTGATTCAAACATCATATTGGAGAAATATACTCAGTAAACAGGTTGAGTTATTTACTATAAATTATAAATTTTTAAAACTTTAAAATACACAGTATAGATATGTAGGCCAATTGAAAAATTATTATCCAAATTTCATGTACTTGTGTTTGTTCAAGTGGGCCAGTATACTCTAGATGCATTAATATTTTTATTCATTTGCTTTGAGTTCTTACCTGTGTATTCATACAGACAGAATAGTGTTATTCTGAAAATTAACTCTATTGAATAATCAGTCTACAATTATATTAATCTCCTTCTTAGTCAAATAATAAACATAACATGACATAATAGTATATGTTAATAAACATCAAAAGTCCTCTGTATTTATATTTCCAATTTATATTTTTTTCATGTTTTCTTATTATATAGGTGATGACTCTCAAAAGTTTTTTTCCTCCTTACCTTGTGGTGGCCTTGGGGTAAGTATGAGTTTTTAAAAGTTTAAAAGTTTACTGCTTTTAAACCACGCATCTACAAAAAACCTCCTTAGATTTATCTATTCATTCATGTTTAAAGCTGTTTCTCAGTGAAGGTGACTCGAAACTTCAGGACTTGCCAAATAATTAGCAGGGCTAAGTGCCAAAGGAAAATGTAGAGGCCCTTGTTCAAAACTCATTAGGCATTTCAAGATGGTTGCAAAATAGAATTAAACCAAGAACAGGGCCCTTCTAACTGTAAGTTCCTGTGCGAGTGCACAGGTCACATGGTCATGAAGACTACTCTGTGAGACTTTCACATAATTGGAAAAAAGGTAAGACGAGAGGATTTGACAGTCTTGCAGTTGAAGACTAGCTGAATTTTCAATAGCATCACATTGAGCACAGCATGCATTCTATTCCTGGTGAAATGGCATAAACCTTACAAATTGCTTTGCGTTCTACGATATTTTGTCTGTGAACCCTTCTGGGGCCATTTTTGTCTTCAATAATTAAAAAATGCCTTTTAACGCATTATGTGTATACAACATTTCATGGGTAAATTTATTCAAATCAAGTGATATATGAAGAAAAATAACTGTATTTTTTTTGTGGGCAATTAGAATATACCTTATAACCTGCTAGGTGTTTAAGGTTAATTGTTACCAGAAACAAAACATCATCCTGTAGAACTAAGTGCTATGTCCTATTAGGACAACTTAAGTCTTTGCCCAGCTCTCCAAGGGATGAGGTATTTAAGTCAGTGGGTTTCTTGGGATGGAAAGAAAAGATGTTTTAGATAATTTTTTGCTATACTTTCGGATAATTCTTGGAGAATTTTTTTGGCTCAAACTAAGTTTTATACAGGGAAATCTCATATATGTGGAGTTCTTTCTCTCATTCTAATCATGCCAGATTTAGTAGGGGGGCATTCTTCTGTTCCTTCTCCTGTGATTCTGCTCCCACTCTGGAAATAATGGCAACTATGACTGTGACAGTATCATTCGGATTTTACAGTTCACCAGCATACAACCAAGTATGCTAGCCACCATATAAAGGAGTTATTACTATCAACACTACTTTATAGAAAAGAAACCTGAAATTAAGTTGTTTTCCTGAAGTTACACAGTGAAAGGTGAAGAGCCGGAAGTTTGGGACTGAGGTGCTTATCCCTGTGAAATAGTTCCAAAAGAGCTTTAAAAAAATCCTTCCATGGCTTTGATCTTCAACAGACTAGCTGCAGCCCCCAGAGCAGAGCAGGGCAGCCGTGTGGCTGAAGGAATGTGGCCCTCTGTGGCAGTTCAACAATGATTTCTGCTCTTTTTTTGAAGAGGTTTTTGCTATAGGGCGTGTACACTCGCCAGACAGACAAAGAGAGGCATAGAGACAGAAAGCAAGAAATCACCCCCCAGGGGGGATGGCCATGCCGCAATCCCTTCTCCTCCATCCTCCTCTCGGGATCTTGGGCAAGCACGCACATGCGCCCGGCGTGAGTTTTAAGCCACTGGGTCCAGGATGCAAACCACGGTTGACTACGTGGGAGTCCAGCGACACAGTCATTATGCTAACTGCTGGTCCTGACTTCTGCTTTTTGATATCCAGTGTAAGACAATCATCATCCCACGTCAGTCCTGGTTCATCTTCAGAAAGCCTGTTGTGGAGCTGGGAGTGTTAAGTGTGGTGATTATCAAATCCCACTCATTTACCAGCATTTTTGTAAAGCACTTGTGCCAAATCGAAGACAGTTTCCCAGCTGTCACCTCCAAAGTCTGACCTAGTATGTGCCTCTCACTCGCTATCCTTTGAACACAAAATACCTCTACTCATCTGCTCTAAACCCTACCAAGGTAACTTATTTTTAGTGAGAACTGCTTTAGTAAGACTTTAAAAATGCTGAAGGAGGGACCAGCAGTTGGCGTAATGGCTATGTTGCTGGACTCCCATGTGGATGACCACAGTTCGAGTCCTGGACCTGGTGGCTTAAAACTCACGCCGGGCGTGTGTGCGTGTGTGCCCAAGATCCCCAGAGGAGAATGGAGGAGAAGGGACTGCGGCGTGGCCATCCCCCTGGGGGGTGATTTCTCACTTTCTGTCTCTCTGTCTCTCTCTGTCTTCCTGGTGAGCATATGCTCCCTATAACAAAAACTTCTCAAAAAAAAAAAAAAAAAAAAGAAAGAAAGAAGTGCTGAAGGAATTGATAGTGACTGCTGGTTCTGCCTCTGAATGTTAACCTGGAGCAGAGTGAGTGTCATGGAGTAAGTCTTTAATCACATTGCCAGGCACTGGTCTAATCCGGATGGTGGCATTAGTGGTAAACCTAGCTTGGACAAGCGGACCCCAAGAGGAGACTGGGATTAGTTTGACTATACCAAAGGAGGCTGGGATGTTTGACTCCGTTATGTTAGAGAAAGCTTGGAGAGAGACCCTCTGTTTATTGAATTGACATGTATATCTTTTGTGGTGAATGTGGAGGCCCAAGTGTATGTGAATGTCTATGCACGAGTGTGTGCATGCATGCTTGCATATATGTGTGGAAGCTGCCACTTGATACACTAGCTAACTAGTTTCACTCAGTCTTTTTAAAAAATTTCTTTAAGAACAGGGTTCAGAATGGTTACAACACTGGACTCCCATGTAGTTAACCGTGGTTTGAGTCCCAGACCTGGCAACTTAAAACTCATGCCAGGTGCATGTACCTGTGTGCCCAAGATCCCTAGAGGAGAATGGAGGAGAAGGGATTGTGGTGTGGCCATCCCCCTTGGGTGGTTTCTTGCTTTCTGTCTTTTTCTGTCTCTCCGGTGAGCGCACATGCCCTATAGCAAAGAAAAAAATCTCTCTTAAAACAAACAAACAAACAAACAAACAAAAACCTTCAGGAACCAAATTATGTCTCTGGATGTTCAGAAGCTATTTGCCATTAGATATTTGGTTTGATATAAGTCCTAGCAGAAACTCTGGGCCCTCTGGATTTGAGCCAGTCTTAAATTTTATCTCTAGGACAATTCCCAAAATATACACAGCATGAACTCAGAGTGCCCCAACATGGCAACATGGGGACTCTGAAAGCTTGGACACAACTGAAATTGCTTTGGTCTTCAGGTACCCTTCTGGTTCAAATGACCTAAAATGGATATTAGTTTCAATTCTAGGATACTCAGTGATTCCAACTGCTTTTCTTTGTTTGTTTGTTTGTTTTTGCCAATGAGACAGAGAGAGACAGAAAGCTAGAAATCACACCCCAGGGGGATGGTCATGACACAATCCCTTCTTCTACATTCTCTTCTCAAGATCTTGGGCACTCACACACACACACAGCATGAGTTTTGTTTTGTTTAGTTTTGCTTTGCTTTGCTTTTCATGACAAACAGCATGTTTAATGAACTGGCAACAGAGATATTGGGTCAAAGAACTGAGGGGCTCCATAATCATCTGGCATCCGCTTAATGTTGTATCTGTGGTTAGAAATGGACATGATAGGAACTCCTGGGATCTTCCGGATTCTTTGTTTAAGGTCTCCGTCAACTGTGGCCACGATGTAACACTTGTGCTGAGTTACTCTCTGTACTAAGCAGTCATCTGCATAGGTTCCTTCATGTGTGCGTGGTGATCGTTCAAATCTTGGACCCTTAGCGATCCTTGGAGCCACTCGATACTTTTGCCCCAATTTTTCAATTTCAGCCATTGACTGCACTAAGTCCAGTCTGGCTTTAATGGAAAAGTTGGTAAAGTTGGTATCAACCAGGATGTGGTAAGGTGGACCCAGCTGTGTATTATGTTGAAAGAATAAGCAGGAAGGGTGCTGGGGGACGTCTCTTACCTTCAGCATGCTAGGATCTTTCTTTTCTTTCTTTTTAGGTTTTAATCTTTCCTTTTCTTTAAACCTCTAATCTCTGAGACTAAGCATTTGCTTCATGGTCACATACTTTCTTGTTTTCTTTTGTTTTCCCATGCTCACGCCACACTCTTGTTTCTTCCGGAATCCCCCAGTATGAATTTTAAGCTGCCAGTCTGGGACTCAAACCGCGCTCAACTACGTGGAAGTCTAGTAACGTAACCATTACATCATCTGCTGGTCCCATGATCTCTAATTGTTAAAGGAAACTCCAGTCACTTTGACTGTATAACTTTACCTGAGTTTGATAAATACCTCCTGAATGCTGATGGATTAATTGGCTTTTACGAGACTACATGGGACAGTGTAAAATCAGGAATCTTCTTATTAAAATTTCCCCTAAAACTAATGTGGCAATCAGAGAGTTGGTCAAGCAGTTCAGTGAACAAATAATATTGAAGGTGCTTTAAAATGTGCTCTTCGGAATTGCATTTTGAGCAGCAGTCTCTCGGTTTCTGAATTCTTCTGTTTGCATCTCATCTTGTTTAGTTACTATGGCGTGACTCATTTCTGATTACTGTATGATTGCACTGCAAGAAAATGCAGCAGCTAACAAGAGCACTCTACCAAATCCTGGGACTTGATCATCACATAGTGAAATTGATAATTAAGGGACTCTGGAAAGAAAAGCCAGTGCGAGACTTCTTTAGTTCTCACTCCTCAGGGTATATCACTAAAAATAGTGATCATTTTCCTGGCTATCTGACCTGCTGCTGTGTGAAGAAATCTTGAAGTCATTTCTCAGCCTTATTTTCCCCTCTTCACTTGATAGGCCACAAAAAAGCCCACAAAAGCAAGGACGAGCAGGCTTTTATGATAATGTCGTCATCAACTCCTAGCTTCAAACGCTTCTGCGGCTTTTGAGTTGTCATTTATAACTTGGAACCGAATCGACCCATAATTCCCCTGATACACTTAGAGAAATTGATAACAGACTGTGCGCTTCTTTTATGGCTCGGAGGAGGCAACTCCAATCACATCACTATTGGCAGGCAATATTATTTTTTGACATGGTTGTAAAAGTATAAAGGGGCTTATGGCATTTGTTTAGATGAGGAATGGGCTCTCAAGCTGTGCTGGGGTTTACAGGACCAGATTAGTGAGAAGCGAA